CATATAGCTAGAGGGTCTCATATCATATTCGAGCTGGTGTACATACTATGACAATCATATTAATTAAGCTTCTTAATTCATGTCAAATGATGGTTTTCTTTGATTTTGGGGATCTATTGGTGATTAATTAATTAAGGGACCGCTTCAAATAATTTATATATGGGACATGATACGTTTGCGTGGGCTATTCCACTGAGAGAAGCAATACATTATATATGCCTGCTTTCCGTCTTATCTCAAATTAATTGCATTTTCTTTTTGCTTTGAGAAAGTGGCATATCCTTTCATCCCTCAGTGGAATTCGTTCTGTGTTTGTTGTTTGCGTATTTTTTTTTTAAAGAGAGGTTGCTTCAGGAATCGAGGGAATAGAGCAATATAGTCTTGATGTCTTAAAAAAATAAAATCAAATAATTAGGGGAGCTAAATGAATAGCCTAATCCAAGATCATCTGAGTTTCAAGAAAATAGAAAAAGAACCTATTTAATAATTTTAGTTATCACTAAATCCAACATGCGGTAGGAAAGAGGCTAAATCCATGCAGTAATTTGATATGTGATTGTCTGGCCAGGAGCGCTGATTTGGCATTCTTCTATGTACAGTGTAGTTTTGTATTTTATTTAGATTGACTTCATCGTTACATTAATTATTTGGTTATTGTAATTATTGTAGATTGATTTTTTATTCATTAAGGTTCCTCAGTTTTGTCGGATATCGATACAACCCTCTCATACATTAAAGAAATACGCAGCATAACTTTACCCTCAATTTTGTCTCGTGTTTTTCCTTTGGTTCTTCTTTGCATATTTCTTCAATTTCTCTCTCTCAGTTAATCTATTTCACAAAAAAACGATAATAAGAGAACATGGGGAAAATAATGATAGAGCATGGCCCTTGTACTAAAGAATAACAGTTCTGCAAAGTAATAACAACTTTATAACAAGTAACAATTAAGAAACGCCAGCCTGTTCAAGTGCAGTTGTGACGAGGTGTTGATGACGTTGATTAACACTGAGATCCAGTTCGGTTTTTAACTACACATTATTGAATCTAGCAAGCACGAAATAAAGGGATGTAGCTCTTAAAAAGGCCCCTGCTTAATTAGACGCTCTTAAAATATAGCTAGGCTCTGGCTGTAACTTGTAACAATGCGATACTAGATAGAGATATGAAAAATATATCTCATTGTTTTCTCAGCACAAAAAACATTGAATATTTGAAAGAATGCTACACTGTGCATATTGGAATCCTACATGTCTGAAATATATTAGGAGAACTGCAAAGAAGGAGAGTGGATTTGTGAAAGATAAAATAAGAGTGACTGATAGTGAAATACCTTTGTTTTGTAGTCTAATGATATTGTCACTCTCTATAAGTAGAAGGTTATGGGTTTCATTCCGTCTCAAGTCATTAGTGTCTGAGGGTATTAATATGGATTGAGTTTGCGGTTCCAATCTGTGTGATAGGTTTAGGTAAAAAAATACTAATTTTTTTGATGTGAGTTTCTTCAGCTTGTATTATCAGCTCTAGTGCTTTACTAGTGTCTATCCTTTTAATTTTTTTTTTTAAAAAAAAGAGATGGCAGATATGATGGGATCATAAATTTCCATGTACGTTATCACTATTCAATTTTAATTTAGAATAAAATGCATATATGTGTGGGACCGCCTTCCATTACTTTTCATATAATCTTAAATACTTAATGGAGAAATGCCGAGATATGATAAAAATAAGTGATCTGCCCACAAAATGGTTGATGAATGGTGCCATCCACTTCATTAGGGGGCCTCTCCCTCTCCCCTTTTTAATTGTTTTGCCCACTAGATCGCATCACAATGCCCACAAACAAAAGCAGAGGAGGCTCATCAAAAGTCACATACAGGAATCCTATCACAACCTGTAAGTGCTGTTTGTATAGACAGAGGCTAATGACGCAATATTATTCCACTCTGCAAATTATGCTTACCCAATTTCATCTGGACCTCTCAACTATTCACACCAAACACTCCCTTTTCTTTATTTATTTCTTTATCATTTCAACCCAATGGGTGCCTCTCGCAGTATATTACTTCCCCGGATGCGACCTATGCATTTTTATCTATCTAGAGAAATAAGTGCGCCATGGGCAGCCTCATATTGATCATTAATCACCTGTTAAATCAGTGCTCACCATAATGATTGTTATTATAATAAAATCTAATTTGGATAGTCCTCATTAAAATTTTTTATCTGTAGTTTTTAACGATAAATTTATTTTTTAAGAAGTGACAATTTTAAAGTTTTCTTTATCTTAAATTCTGTAACTATTAAAATTAAAAAAAATGTTCAAGCATAAAAATTTGGAATCAAACATGGACCATTTAAAATTAATTTGGATATTTCAGATTAAGATGATCATTCCATGCACCACCTTCATTTCCAGTTATACATTGATATTATGCCTTGTGACTTTGTGAGATCTAACGTGACAGATAAAGATATATAGCTGGGCGGATTGATGAACGTTGCATTAAGTTGGGAAGTATATTGAGGTCACATTAAAACAAAAATATATTCCAAAATGACTTGGCCATAGCTCATCTTTGAACAGTAGATCAACCCCCTTGATGATTTGCTTTTGAGAGAAACGTGGAAAAAATGCCAAATAGAGACGAGCTTGATTTGGTTTTGTCTCCAGAAACTGGAAAACTTGGGACATTATTATGAACGTCTGATTTTCAGCACTGTTCAGTGTTGCGGATTCGCTGGTTATGTTCAACCAATTAAAGGAACAAGGAAAAACTTACCTGATTATCCCGCGCTCTGCCGCCCCCAGCATTATTCTAAATTCTGATAGCTTTAGCATATAGTATACGAATGTCAATCAGCTTTAAATGAACAATGTCTCTGTCTCCATCTCTATTTTCATTATACAAGAGGAACAACATATATTCTTAAAATAAATCCTAATGATTTTCTTATCCTCCACTTTTAAAAAAGTTTTGTTCCCTTTCACCTTTACCCTCCATCCTGGCCTATGAGTCTGGGAATGCCAAAAACACAATAATTTATTCGAAATTTTGCAAAATGGAAAGAAGATCCACTTACTCGTCATCTTATTATTTCGCCTCCCTTGTCCATTAATGTATTTTTCATCCGTTCTAGTACATATTCTGAATTATATAAACAAAAGAAGCAAAATTTTCTTGGACAGTTTTGGCGAAGATTTTTTTTTTCTTGGGAAACGAAGCGTTGGGGGGACCTGGAGTTTAGTTACCTAATAAGTCTATCTCCTATATATAGTCGTAGAGATCACTGATTAGCGAGAGAAAATCTGTCTGCTCATCTAATTAAATACTGACGCTATATCTTAATTTTGGCGGATCAAGTGGTCGGGCCACTAAACAATTAATGACGAGTAACATATAATAAATGATAAAGATAAATTCCTCATGATAATGACAGAACGAGCAGGCGTGCACCACAGCCACATGAACCGTGGATATGCAGACTTGCTTATTAAAATAATGACAAAGTTTTGTGAGAGAGCAGATATAAATATTGGTCCAGTGCTTGTACGCAAAGCATCGTTTCGAGTGGCAAATTAAAAGCGCAAAAGTAGGGTTCCATCCCAAGGAGAGAATATTGGAGAAGAAAAAAATGGTTCAACAAGAAATGCGAAAAGGTCCATGGACGGAACAGGAGGACATAAAACTGGTGTCCTTTGTGGGCTTGTTTGGAGAACGAAGATGGGATTTTATTGCGAAGGTTTCAGGTTTGGAAGGTGGCGGGAGATCACAAAAATAAATAGGAAAAAATGGTTATTAGGGCCTGCTGCATCATGGCAAAGATAAAGCAGCCTTTAACCACCTCATTTTGTTGTAGGTTTGCATAGAACTGGTAAGAGTTGCAGGTTACGTTGGGTTAATTACCTTCATCCTGGTCTCAAACGGGGCAAGATGACACCCCAAGAAGAGCGTCTCGTCCTGGAGCTTCACTCTAAGTGGGGAAATAGGTTTGACAATATACATATATATATGCACAAAGCTATCCTCACCTACATCTTTTTCTTCTTCTCTCTTCATGCCCTTTCTATATATCTCTTCCCTATCACTCGAATTACTGATATATAATCTCTGGCAGATGGTCAAGAATTGCTCGCAAATTACCAGGACGCACGGATAATGAGATTAAGAATTACTGGAGGACTCACATGAGGAAGATGGCTCAGGAGAAAAAGCGAGCAGCGGCGGCCGCCTCATCGCCTTCGTCATCATCAGCATCCTCCAAGAGCAGTACCGGAGAAGGAAGCTCTTATGATACAGGAGATCCTACTAATAACGTGATATCTTCCACAGAGATACAGATCACAGGCGAAGACCGAGCCCGTGAAGAAGAAGGGTACTCTATGGATGATATTTGGAAAGATATTGCAGTGTCAGAAGAGAATAAGAGTGAAGACGGCTGCAACTTCTCTTGTACTCCTTCATGGGAGTACTCTACTTCGGATTCGCTATGGGTTATGGACGAAGAGGAAAGTAAGATTTTGAACCCATTTTTTCCCTATTACGAACAAGGGATGCCATTTCTTTAACACGCTGAATCCAATTCTTTTTAGTCAGTGATTTGTTCATATGTTCATATGTATGTTATATTACGCGTATCATCATGTGTGGGTCCTGAGCAAGTCTAACCAGCATATATAGAGAGTGTTAATTAGGGTATATGGTCTCTTTAAGCTTTTAGTGTATTATTCTCCCATGCAAGTGTGACACAGCTGTAAATTAAACATCCCACAGTGCCTTTACTTTCCGCCCAAAATGATGAAATCTCCTCAACACTGTATGTTTTCAATGTAAAATATCAGGCATCCTCTTCGGTCAAGCATCTGTTTGTGTTCTTTTTTTTTTTTTTAACAATCGGTGAACTTATAGTGCGAAAAGCAATTTGTTTTCCTTCGTCGGGCATTACTAAATATTAAGAAAATGGATATGATCAGTAAATGTCAATTCAAATTTGTTCACTCTTCCCTAATGGATCCACAATCTGACGAAAACTTTAACTATTTATACGCGACTAAATATGAGAGAAATTGTGTCAAAAAAATGTGAGAGAAATTGTTTATCTCTCCAATTATTTAACTGGCGCATAAGCATCAACAAATTTCTCTATCGTCGATCACCAACTTCATATCGGAAATTAAATTGGAAAAAAATTGTGTGCGCGCGGGGCAATGAAGCCACCAGTTGCTTAACCGACTCTGCAACATGGAGAATTCTGTCAGATTTTTTTTTATCGTATAATAAAAATTCTATGAATATTTTGATTAAAACATGAACAATTATAAGTGATGTTCGGTTGGGAAAAAATTATAAAATACATCTTTTCATTTTTTTTAAAAAAATCTAATAGTTCAAAAGAAGGATATTTTAATTTAAAAATTCTAAAAAACCATGTGATTCATAAAAAAAAAAGATGAGAGATCATTTATAAGAGTTTTTTTTTTTTTTAACAAAATTAATTTAGACTCTAAACATCAAGCCCCACAAAAGTTTTTGGGCTAGGCTGCCAGTCTTATGTAAATGGGTCAACTTTACACAACGCTCTTTTGCATACAGCCAAAACCCAACCCAATCAGATGAAAAAATATCGGGTCGTAAGACCCGGTTACCCACTTACCTCTGTTGCCCATAACGAACAGGAGGCGCGCTTTTATGATCGGTTGCAACTAGCAACATCCACAAACCAGAATGCCTCGTCTTTCCACTCTCTATCTGCTCGCTTACAACTCTCTTCAGGCTATTGGATGGTATATGATCTCTCTCTTCCGTGATTATTTCTCTTGCACACTTCTGATTCACTTACTATGTTCTCTATTTTCCTGCAGGACCTTTTCCCTCCTTGCAATTTTGATCAATCTTCTGTCCACGCGCTCTGTCGCTGGAACCTATGCTTCTTCCGGCAAGCTAATAAGTATGTGTCTCTTTCACTTTGCCCTTCAGCTCTCTCACAAGCTTCAACAAATAAATTGCACAGTTGAAATTGAAAAGGGAATTTGATTGTTGAAGTGACGTTTAGGGAGAGTTGCAGTCAGTTCTTGAATTATTTTAGAAACAAATTGTTTGGATTTAGTTATTGAAATAAGTACTACAGGTCCGTGATGAAAAAATTTCCCTCTTACGGTCTTGCCTCACGACTCCCACCGTCTCATTGCATGCATAATAAGCTAAATGTCTGAGTTTTCATTTATCCGTGCTAGGCAGAGAACGTGAAAAATGTATCTGCTTCTCTTGTTTGATTTCCATAAAAACTTAGCAGAATTTGTAAAGGATGGGTGCAAATGGAGGCCGCTCCGTTTTCACTTATTTTCATCTCTTGTTTGTAAACACACGCTCACCATGGAGACCATTTTTTTTTTCCGCCTCTTTATTCTCTTGCAAATCATGCATTTAATGTGTCACAAGACACTATTTCAACCTTAAGAATCAAGGGTGGAGGAGAGTAAAATTTTGAGAGTTGTCTTGAATTTCCCTTTGTATGGAATTTCTCTACATCTAAGCAGATTTCACGCTTAAAAGATGTGATCGGTCTGCTTTACTTTCTTGTTGAAGGTTTGCTGCAATGCACTGCAGTATTGGAAGTCATACACGGAGCCATTGGTAGGTTTGCTGTTAATGCATGGCTTCTAATGAGAAGAATATTCATTGTAATTTAAAAGGAATTATACGGCAACATGCTTTAAAATTATAGGCATTGTGCCAAGCGGAGTACTACTCACTCTAATGCAATGGGGAGGAAGGGTCCACTTTCTGTTGGCGGTTGTTGATAAAGTTGATGAGGTTTGTGTATTGTTTTTGAATTGTTGTGTTATGACATGGTTCAAGCAATATAGCTTCATTCATGCTTATTTAATACGTGTAACCATGCTGTATGTTATTTTTAGGTTCAGGGGTCACCGTCAGTCTTTATCACTCTCCTTGCATGGAGCATAAGTGAGGTAAGTTGCTTTCAGATAGAATTCACAATGCAGTTAATCTCATGTAATAGCATCTACTCCCTTCTCAAAGCGTAGAAACCTTGCTACGTGAAATAGTAATGACTTGCTAAAACACTCGAAACATGTCAGAGACATCATTGTGACACAATATATCAAGGAAATGGAAGCATTCATAACAATATTTTAATCAGTGACGAGGAAAAGCAATACTTCCTTATGACCGCCATCAGAGATGTCACTGTGATCATCAACATTAGCGTTTCAAAAATTTGATGTCCAGTTAAAAATGGTTCTGTATAAAAGCTAACACTTGACAAATTTTTAACCGTTTAGAGTTCCGCTTTCTCATAAAACTTGAGCGCTTTCTTTGATCTCGTAATATTTGATGTCTTAAGAAACAATGATGGGACTTTCTCACAGTGCAGGTAATTAGATATTCACATTATGCTTTCAACTGCATCGGAAGTTGTCCTCCTTGGATCACCTATCTCAGGTCCTTTTCTTCCTTCTTGCTCCTTGTTTTCTGTAATTTTGTGGATAACATAAGAATAGCACTGGGTTAAAATTCTCTGTTGTGTTGACTAAAATTACACTTTCTAAATGTGAGCTTGATTCTTTATTTTACGAATTAGGTATACTGGCTTTATTGTGCTGTATCCCTTAGGGATTGGTCCTGGTGAAAGTGAGTCCTTATCTACCTTTCCATGCTTTTATCTTTTGTTTCCCTATGAATTTGCAATTCATATTGGCATTGCTACTCATTCATTCCTTTATTTTCCATTGACATCATTCAGCATGTTTTGTATAAACTAGTACAACTGATCAATCTACGATGCAGTGTGGCTCATGTATCAAGCACTTCCTATTATTGAGAAGAGGAACCTCTATGCAGATGCCTTTTCAGGTCTCCCATTCAGTTATTATGATTTCCTCAGGGTAAAGTTGCTCATCTAGTTTGTAATTCTGTTCACCAAATTCACTTAACTGCGTAGAGGCTGATAATTTCCTACTTCAACCCAACATACCATTGCTCTGGCAGCTATGATAGTGATTAGGTGTGAGCATAGCTCTTGTATCTGTAGGTTTATTACAGGTTGGCTATTTGTTGTATTTTATGGAATAGACCTGAAATTAGAAATAACAAAACAAGAAAAAGCTTAGAAATTGCTACAACATAGCACATGGAACCTGGTCCTTACTCTATACCATATGGCCTTGTTTACTACCGGGCTAGGAAGTTTGCATAATTGAGGCGCGCATGAACCAGCTGGGTTCCAGTTGACCTTCAGATCCTATAAAATTGTGCTGTGACACTGACTCCTTTCCTTTTTTAATTTCTATTTAATCTTCCCAAGTTATCTGCATAAGTGAATTTTGTTAATTTCTCATTCTTTTATTTTTTTTGGTTAAACTCAATGAATCAGGTTGTAATTGCAATTTATCCATTCCTCTGGTTGAAGCTTTATCTGCATTTGTTCAAGCAAAGGAAAGCAAAACTCCGAAAAAACCATGAGAAGAAAAGAACATGAAGAGCAGAGCTCTTGGTTTTATAATTTGTTGACAACCTCACGAGTTATTGAGCTTGTGCGCTTTTTCTTGGGTGATATGAGCTCTGCGTCTCGATGAAGCGTTTTGTTTGAAAGCTGAGTGTCTCAGAATGTGGCACTTGTTAAGTGATCATTGGACTGGATTTTAACGCAAACTAATGGCATAGTCACGTGTTATTCAGGATTTCGGATTACCATCGCAGTTACTATTCATAAAATTACTGCCTGTGATATATGCGGTGTTTAGAACTCCTCTGGTCCTTAATATAAGATCTAATTAGAAGTTTGATCTTAGTTCTAAATATAAGATTTATTTTTCATATTTACTAATTTTCTAAATTATCCCTATTAAATAATGAAGTACCACAATAATACCTATTACTCATTAATAATACACCTATATATATTTTATAAAGTGAATGAGTACTGATTACTTATTAATTCCACAGATACATCAATTCTACCGCTTTATAGTTTTAATAAAATAATTTAAAACATTTTTTTAAATGAATATTTTCATGCAAATACCCATTCAAGGTGATTGGATTTTTTATCTCCGAAGAATAGCATAATAAAATATTAATCATATTATCTATTTTCTTTGTGGCTAGAAAAGCATAATCTTCTATTTATATTTTACCCAATCAAGTAGAAAAAATTCCTTCCAGAAGAAAAACAAAAAAATTAATTCTTTTTTGTGGTAAACAGGGAAATTAAAAACGAACAATGAAACAGAAGCACAACATTAAACCAAGTTACACCCTCTCTCGCTAACCACCAAAAAAAAAATTGAAGAAGTTGGACTGAGCAGATTTTCATCGACATTGGACTGGAAGGTCGGAGGCAAGCTAACTAGAGTCTAAAGTTTTTTGAAATAAAAGTTTTTTAAAGAAGTTTTAACTGAGGATATTTTAGGAAATATATATTATATTTGTAATTATTATTTAATTTAACTAACTTTTTAAATTTAATCAAAATTAAATAGTTCTTATATTAAGAATCAGACTAGTAACAAATTACTGTGTAAATTGCATGGGTTAGTCTTGTACATTATTTCCTTCGTAATCTGATATGAGCTTCGCTCGCAGATGGGTACCTTCATCTTCTCTTGTTTCCAAAGATATTGATGTAGGAGTTCCTGAAATAAGTGCGCACGCGCGCGTTATAATTCAAGCAGGGTTGAAGCTTGGTTTTTTCTTTTATGCATATATAATCATGACATGAGATGCTAAAAATTGAAGATAGGCATACAAAATAGCATAATCTTAGTGAACAATACAAATGACAAAGACGAAGGGAATCAAACAAAAATTGCAAACAAGAGGTAGCGCCTTAAACAACAGAAGCCAAATAAAGAAAGCAACCCCACTTTCAACATAAACAGGGTCGGGTAGAGGGGCGTTTTGTTGCCCTTAATAATCCGTGGTGGGGAGCTGTTGATGAGTTTGGCTCATGAATAACATCTCATAGACAATGGCGGCAATAGCTGCACCCAGGAAGGGACCTAGCCAGTAAACCCAGTGGTTGGCCCACGTCCAGCTCACGACGGCTGGTCCGAAAGAGACCGCTGGGTTCATGGATGCTCCGTCAAAGGCCCCACCCGCCAAGATGTTAGCTCCGACGATGAAACCAATCGCGATCGGAGCAATTATCCCAACATTACCCTTCTTTGGGTCTAAGGCCGTCGCATACACCGTGTACACCAGACCGAAGGTCATCACTATCTCAAACACCACCGCGTTCCATGCACCCACTCCCGCGGATAATGAGAAAGCGGATGTTTCCTGCCACCCAACACACAAACACAGATCTCAACTTTCCACGTGATTTGGAACGAGAAGAAGAAGACATGTCCCAAGATTCATTTAATCATCTGGTGGGATTGCGTTACGAGTTAAGGGTCATAACTATATCTTATCTGGGTGAGCTGAGTAAAACAGCAGAGCGAGGAATAATATTTACCAGTCCACCGGTGGAAAATTTAAGGAGTAAGCAAGCAACAACAGAGCCGAGCAATTGGGCGATCCAGTACAGAATGCTTCTAAAGAGAGAGATGTGACCCCCGATGAAGGCGCCGAACGTAACAGCGGGATTCACGTGACCTCCTGAAATGTTGGCGCCAACTGAAACCGCCACAAACAATGCAAAGGCATGAGCCAACGAAGCTGACACGAGCCCCGCCGGCGTCGTCGATCCATTGTCCGTCAGCTTGTCTGCAAAACCATACATCTTATTCAGTTAAAGACGGATATGATAAAGGATACTGAGAAGCAAGTAGACACGAGATTGAAGGGGCTCACTGAAAGCCATGCCGGAGCCTTCCCCGGCGAACACAAAGATGAGCACTGAAATGAACTCAGCCAAGGCAGCCTTAAGAGCATTGGCTTGGCCCAGCTCCGATGTATTGCCGATAGCAATCCTAGAAATCGCCATTGTTTAGATTACAGAGAGTGCTCTTTACTCTGCTGATAGCTATGATAAACCTTGCGATTCAACTTCTGGCTCTGGCCGTTTTATATAGAGATTATTTAACAGTTCATGGAGGGACGAGGACCACGAACGAGGGAAGATTATTTCAAAAATTGCAGCCTGGCTGTGCGGCCTGTCGGGACAATAGGAGGGCCTCCGGTTCGCTCCCTAGGTGCCACGTGGACGGTCTGATGTGATTGGGATGATCCAAATCACCGACCAATCTACGGAGTGAGAATGGTGGATTGGTGGGTGGGCCCTCTATCGTCGTCCTACCCTTGCGGACCGAACCGACCTTTGGGTTCCTTTTCGGTGTGATGTGGACCTCCCTACTATTCTCACCACTCCTCGCCCCTGGACTCATCCACATTTACAGCAGTTCCTTTCTGCAAGATTATATTAGATATCATTTGCTGTTTTACATCTATTTCTTAATTATTTTTAATTATTGTGTGCACTTGAATTTTTTTTATTTTCAGAAGGGAAAAAATTATTTTTTGAAGAAGGTGAACATTCTGCGAGTATGTCATGGCTATAACGCCGTGAACTTGTTTTCTTTCTGGCCTGAATACAATGCCGTGAATCGACACAACTTGTCCTTATAATAAATTGGCCCATGTGCTTATTATTGATTATGAAAGGTCACAGTCCCACACAACAGAAACACGATGATGGCTTTCTCAGTCAAACCCGAGATGGTGAAATCTCTTCCACAGTGATTCTCATTATTGGGGTGTAACAGTTTTTTTTTAATATAAAAAGACAAATGGTGTTATCGTGATAACAAGATTATAAACAGAGTTAGTATATGGATGAGAATCTAAATTAGAAAAGGCATAGTTACGCGTGACAATAAAAATCACAAAAAAAGCCAACACAGTTAAATCTAGCAAAAAAGATTAGTCTCTCACAATTTGACAAATTAAAATTTGAATACTTATTGAGAGAGATACTCATATTTGATACCTAGTATTACCTCAAATAGGATTGTTTACAGTAAAATAATACTACCTCCGGTCCTAATTAGAAGACCCAGTTGACTTATTTGAGGAGATTAAGGAAGTAAGTTAAGTTAGTTATTTGTAATAAATAAGTGTTGTCATTCCTAAAATATCCTTACTAATTAAGTGTATTGGCTAGAACTATCATTATTAGAAAGACTATCTTGAAAAAAAAAATACATAAATATGAGAGACAAAATGAATTGGGGTCTTATAATTAGGATCAAACAAAAAGTCAAATGAGGTCTTGTATTAAGGACCGGAGGTAGTATATAGCTATGCGTAGCAAAAACACAAAAGAAATGACAGAAAACGATTTGAGAATGGTGCGGATATATACTGTGCCCAACTGGGTTCTCACACGTAAAGAACGAGGTAGAGGGAGAGCTGGAAAAAAAGTTGTCTAGACCAGTCATAATTGTACCATATACTCTTCCAATCTTAAATATAAGATCTTTATATATATTAATACGAGGATTTTATATTTAGAATCGGAAGAGTATTTGATTATGTTATAGATGTTAACAAATTCCATTTTTGGATCTGAAGCTTCAATTTATTATTTATGCGTGCCATCCATGTATTAACACCTCAGCAAGATTTGGGTTTGGACATCAACTCTCCTCCCCCGGTTCATGAATCCAAGAACGAAGTTCCATTTGAATTCGTAAATTTTGGATGATGTACCTGCTTTATTTAATTTCTCCTTCAATCAGTCTTTAATATTTCTTCGGAGTTGCTTTCTCGCCACTGCTTATTTATTATAGTTTTAGATCATCAAGATCAAGGTGAACCAAAAAAAAAAATGAGGATCAAAGTTTATGAACACATTAATTTATATTTTTAAAGATATCAAACAGGAACACTCAGATTTAATCCAAGAATTCACTACTAACTACAAATCACAGCAACGATGCATATTTGAACTAAAAAATGCGATCATAATTAACGATTGTGTATGGGCTAAACACCCACCACGCACATTAATATTATTTTTCAAAAGAACTTACAATTGTTTTGAGAGATGAGGCTGGAACATACATACGTGACAAATACGTTGATTATGTTATTAGGGACAGCACTACAGCCTAGTGAAGATTTTGCCTTGTAAACTGATCGAAAGGGAATTGAAAATGAAGCAGGTGCAGCTGACAGTGATGGTCACTTAGTCACGTGACAATCTAATCTTCTCATGCAATTTCCACTTAACACCACCGCCTCCCCTCTGATTAATTAATATATAATCTCAAATTTGTGTTCATTTATTTGTCCCCCAGCGCAGTGGAATATTAGTAGGCACAAGTTTTTTCTTCCCCACCCCCCAAGATAATTCTGAGGGTGACAAACAGTACAAGTGCCTCATCCAGGCTCCCACACTTCTTGCAACATCTATGCTCATCTCTTCTTTAGTTTATTAATTATTATTATTATTATTATAGGCGGCTTAATTAGAGGATACTAGCTAGTATTAGCATATACTCCTTCGATCCTTAATATAGGACCCAATTCTTGAGTTGGTTTTGATCCTAAATATAAGACCCATTTCTCATATTTATCATTTTTCTCTAAATTACCCCTATGGATACTCTCTTAACCATAATCAAGTAGAAGAAGGAGATAGGGTATTAAAAAGGATGATTATGGTATTTAGGAAAAATGAGTCACTTTCTTATAATTAACTAACTTACCTAACTTCCTTAATCTAATCAAATTAGTTAAATGGGTCTTATATTAAAGACCGGAGGAGTATAAATATTTTAGAGCAGAGCTGCCTTTTCTCTTGTTTCCAGCCTCGTAACGGGAATATCCCTACGAACAGGCAGGCCTTTCACGTTGTGGGACGGCAATTCCCGATCACTAGGGCTACAACTACAAGTCTACAAGTCACGACTTGTGGATGGGAATGAGCAGATTGGGTTTTTTTTTTAATATAATCTTGGATCTATTAATTTTATCCTCATTTTAGTTCTGGTCTCTCAAGTTTCAAACTATAGATTTTAGTTTTTTTAAGGATCAAATGATTCAAGTTTTTATTAAATTATAGGGACCAATATTTTGAATAAAAAGAAATTTAAGAGACTAAAATCAAAATTAGGGCAAAATTAAAGAATCAAAGTTTATATTAACCTTTTTTTATTCCAAAAATTAGAGATAAATCACTTATTAAAAATTTTACTGGCAGAAAAATTTAATTTTGAATATCGCACAAAATTTATTGAGAATCAATAATTTTTATGTAAACAAATTTGTCAAGTTTTTTTATTAATAAAATTTTCAATTCTCCCTTTTTGCCATGTTAAATTGACTCAATTATGTGAAATGAACTGCTGGCACAAAAAAATTATGTTCATTGAACTTGTTTTAATTGATTTTATTAGCCTTTTCTATTAATTTATACAAGCTTAATACTTTCTCAGAAATAGAATTTATTACATGAAAACTATCTTTAAAAAATTTCTTTTTACCTGTTATATAATTTTTGCGATATTTCCAAATGGCCCACAACGTACCCGTAAGTATACTGATATGCGCCAAAAAAAAAAAACAGAAAAGGAGTGCCAAACCGTATTCACAAGTTTCTCACTCACAGACCGTTTTGGTAGGGCAGTTTTGGGCCAAGCAGGTTGAAATTGGGAGTACAGTGTGTGTCATTAGGCTTCTTTCCCACTCTCGTTAAAAAAAATACGGGACCAATAGGATTGAGTTTAGCAGAATAAAGTGGTTCCTCATAATATGATAAATTAAAGTTTAAATTTTAACTAAAAGATGTGTCCACGTTTAGTATTTGACAGTACCTTGAATATAATTACTTCTAATAAAAAAATACTTATACTTTAGTCAGATAAATAAATAAAAAGACACGAAAGCAATATTATCCTTGTGGGGTTATTTAGTTTAGTTTGATTCGGCCCAAGCAGTGGCTGAAACTTTGGGCTTTAATTGGCCCTCGATTAGCATCGTGGGCTTTCAGTTCGTGACATGTTGATCTCTGGTTTCACCCAATTCAGGAATCAACCCCACACAGGAGTGATCGAAAAGACTAAACATGAATAAAAGAGGGCGACGATTGAAGAAGATGGAAAATAACAGAAAGCGGCAATTATTCAGAATCAGGGTTTGAACTTAAAAGTGGGGCATAGCCTCTGTACTTTCTTAGCGCCTCTTTTCGTTAAGCTCAAAAGGCTCGCTTCTTATTGGTATATGCTTCCACAGTTGGTTCCAACAAAATCTTATTATGCGCTCCAAGCAATAATGCTATCTCGGTTAAAGATTAAGATGCATTTTTATTTTTTATACCTTACAAAGTCTCTCATTAGAATATAATAAATAAATATGTAATTTTGTGAGCGAACTATAAAAAAAATGCCATTCAATTAAGAATTTTGAAAAACACATTACACAATACACACACGCACGTATTCTGGTGGAAATTACACTTCTATTGAGGAACCCCCCCCCCCGACCTCCCTTGCTTCATCTAAACCATTGAATTAAATTTGAACGATATCAAATTTTATTTAAATTTTTGTATAATTCAGTTGAGAGTTTTTTTTAATAAAATATTAAAATTAAAGTGTTTAAATGAAGTAGAAATAAAGTAAAGTGCGCACTCTCAGCTATTATTTATTTATTTATATATTATGATTTTTACTGTTGTTATTATTAGAATATTAGGATGGGATGATATAGGTGGCTAGAAGCCTGAATTTGCCATACTGACATGCAGTATACGAAAGGAATAAGAATAATAGCACAATGATTCTGGCAAAAAAACAAAGGAGGAATAATAGTACAAACACACAGCTCAATTTTTCAGGAAGTTAAAAGAATTTTACCGTCTTTTTTTTTTTTTACCAGCAATTTTACCGTCTTGTCACTTATGGAAAGAAAGTATATTTATGATTCAAACTGGAAAAAAGTCGTCCCCAACTATTGGAAATGATTATGGGCGGAGGAGCGTTCAGACTTTAGACCGCATTTTAACCAATAACGAGGCCCTCTTATTTTCCTATGTCATTGACCCACTCCCTCCCATCATTGCTTCAC